CACAGTACTCTACATATTGAGCATGTGTGTTCAAGCGACCATTTGTCGCGAGCAATGCAGAGGCAGTTTTCAGCGATCTACCTCTTTATTGCAAGTAGTGGTATACCGCAGAACTGATCTATATCCAGTCTGCTAAGCATAGTGCTAGTCTGCTAAGCATAGTGCATAGAATATCATTTATGGCCATGTTCCATAAGAGTGGTGATAGTACTCCCCCTTGTGGAGTACCTCTTAAAGCTTTTCTAGAGATTACTGTATCTCCTAGGGAGGATTCAATGATCCTATTTGAGAGAAGATTCTCGACAAAGCCCACAACTGACTTACCAAGCCCAGCCCGAGATAGAGATTGGCAGATAGAAGCAGGTTTGACGTTATTGAAAGCGCCTTCTACATCAAGAAAGGCAACCAGTGGGTAATTTCCATACCCCATGGATTTTCCAATATGACCAACGAGTGTATGAAGAGCCGTCTCAACAGATTTGCCCTTCGTATATGCATGTTGAGAGGAAGAGAGAAAGGATTTGTCTATCGAAGTCCTTATGTGAATATCGATTATCCTTTCCAATGTTTTCCGCATAAATGATGCATATTGGTCTGTAATCTTTTGCCTTAGTGTGTGAAGTTTTATCCCCCTTGGGAATAAAAATCACATTGCACTTGGTCCATTGAATAGGAATGTATGACCAAGAGAGACAGGCTGTGCATAAGTTCCGCAGCCAAGGAACTACAAGATCTATATTGTGTTGAAGATCTGCAGGAATAATACCATCAGGGCCGGGCGCTTTGTAAGGATTAAAGCTTTTAAGTGCCCATCGGATAATGTCATCTTCAATAGGCACGTGTGTTACAGTGCGCATTGAGGTTGGAGAGAAACTAGTCAAATCACTTATTGAGATACAACCGGGAAAGTGAGTATTAAGGAGAAGCTCTAAGGTCTCCTGACTACCTGAAGTCCAGCTCACATCCATTTTCTGTATATAGCTAGGAGTAGAAGGGGACTTTAATACAATTTTACGGAGACGACTGGTTTCGGAAGAGCTTTCAATATTGCTACAGAAAACCCTCCACGAATTCCGTTTCGCGTTCCGAACCAAATTTTTAAATTTATTAACGTTTGCCTTATAAAGGGACCAGTTACCTGATCTCTTAGCCTCGTTAAAGGACCGGCGGCATGTCCTTCTTATGCTCGCTATGTCAGGACTCCACCACGGTGGTTTGTCCTTTTTTAGGCCACTGGATAGTTTGCACGCTCTCTTCGTGGCGACGCTCAGAGAACTAGCAATCCAATTTGCAGCCAAATCAATATCCCTTCTACTCTCTACCGTCGGAGCAGAGGGAAGAATAGTACTCAGAGAAGCTTTGTGCTTCTCCCAATTTGTTTTCCTTCTATTTAGAAAGGGTTTTGAAACTTTTACCTGGACCACTATGTCGAAGTCCAGGTAGCGGTGATCAGAGAAGGAGCAGTCATTGGAAACATTCCACTCTTTGATCAGTTCTATGTAGTTTGTACTAATAGCTGTAATATCCAGAACTTTTTTTCTGTTTGACACAACAAAAGTAGGTTCTGAACCTCTGTTAACGACTGACATATTAAATTCTAATAAAAAGTCAAGTAAACACTCACCTCTACTGTTGACGCCTGAACTGCGCCAGACATTGTGGTGAGCATTTGCATCAGTGCCAATTATCGCAGGAACGTGACGCCTATTTGCTTCGCGCATTAAGTCTCTGACCAGGTCATTTGGTGGTTGGTCACCATGGTCATGCGCCATATAGCAGCTAAGGAGCCAGATGGTGGAGTTTCCGGTCTTAAGTGCCGCCGCTACCGTATCCTCCTCACTGTAATCAGATAAGATGAAGATATCTAAGTGGTTTTTGGCCAGAATACAGGCTCTAATATTTTTAATATTACCTGCAGGATTTGAATACAGAAGTTTGTAACCTCTGAGAGATAGTCCAAGGATTTTACCGTGGTGGGTCCACGGTTCAGTGACGTCGACGTCCTCAGGCGTTTGGCGTCACTGCGATAAATGCGTAGGGAGATACTATCAAAACCATAGTAAACTTTACCTCCGCATTCACGCAATGGCGCCAAAGTTTCCTTGTTAAGGACAACAGTCGCCTTTCTGACGGTTCCCATCGGGGCGGAAACCTTCACCACCTTCATAATCATAGGTAGGTAAATGAGGATTTCCGCTTTTGAGGAACGCCAGAATTTCCGCCGGGTCATGTGGCTCAGATGGGATGGTGGCAATTGATCTCGGTCTGCCAGGAATTTCGCTTACCGGGATCACGTCCAACCTTGCACCTGGCCACACCTCCCCAAGGTACTGAAATTTTTAATAAGAAACATTTATAGGAACGTAAATCTTTCTATCGAATTTCATGCGAAAATGTCGTCATTGTTTTGGGGGCGGGTCCTGGATTCTCCTTTAGGATCTTCCAGTACACGCCTAGCATCTTCTGACGTATGGTCCCCCCATTTTTCCTGGGAGATGGCTCCGTCGCTGTTGCTTCGGTCAACAATAGCCCTTACCATTGGGTTTCTAGCAACTTCACTGATGACGATGGTTTGCGCCTGTTTTTGACGTTTAGTCGGCTGGTCGTTCGGCATAGAAGAAAGGGTCTCCTCCTCAGATCGTTGCCGTTTAGGCGCCTCGGCAGCAGGTCTAACCACTTCTGCCTCAGCTGGAGGATCGGAGCCCTCGCGGAGTAGTCAAGCCTGGTGCTACCACCTGACTAGTCCGGACGCCAGTCGCATTCGATTCACCACAGCCCGGTATCGCCGCTGTGGGAATAGGGTCTCCGGATATTATCAAGCCCCGGACCGGATACGAGGGGCATACTTTCTTCTCTGACATTCTTGGGGGAGGGGGTTGTTGCATTTTTGGCCTACTGCCAGGACTAAAAACTGCCGTCCCACTGGGAGCGGACAGACCATCAAACCGTCCAATCTGGAACAGACGCTTGATGGATTTCAGGACTTGCACACTTAAGTGCGTGAATCCAAAGGATTCAGAACGGACTTTCTGTTGATTGCCCTGTCTCAGTGACAGGAGAAGCAAATCAACAGATCGTTTCTAACAGACCGCCCAATGTGGGAAACAGACATCTGTTAGGTGGGAGGGGTAGTTCATAGTTTCGTGCTCGTCTCATGACCCGTCTGGCAAGGGTGAACCCTAGGAGGCAGCCAGCTCAAGCAAAGCTGTCTCCGTCAGCATGGCCCATGAGATCCATCGCACTTAAGCCTTCACATCGGGACAAGATGACTACCCTTCGTGAAGGGTAGTCACCAAGTTTAGTATCCAAAATTCTAACCTTGGTGCAAATTTCATCCATTTTAAAAGTTGGGTCACTTGAAACTAAATTCCCCATATATCCTTTTCATTTTCATGACCTAGCTTTAAGATGGGATTGATTGTTTCTTAGTTTTTAAGAAGCATTTAGAATAAGGTATGATATTGAAACGAAAGGTTGTGTGTTTTTTTTACTACAAGTGCGTTCTCATTTGGGCACTATACTAGACTTTGTACCTTCAAAAAACCGACATTAAAACTTTATAAAGAGCCAAAGATTTTATGTTTTTTGAAGGTATTAAGACGCGTACACTGAGCGTAAAGCCAACGAGCTCAGATAACAAATTTTTTCAAAGACCAAATCTTTACATCAAAATTATTTTTTTATGGAAATAGTAATTTTATGGTGAATTTTATTTTATTATTAATAAACAATGTTATATAGTGTCAATTTGATGAAATTTCATTTAAATGTCCTACAGGGGCCGATTCACAGCTCCAAAATAGGGCACTTTAATATATGTAAAATTGAAAACCTCTCCAAAGTTCGTTTTTATTCCGATTAAAGAAATTGTTTAATATATAAAATCTATTATTAGAGGCCTACAAAAAAAATGTGTTTTATAGTGTTTATTTAACTCTTGTGGTTTTCGATATATTTGCGTATCAAAATCTTATTTTTTTTTTTCACATATACATATTGCGATTTTTTGTAAATGCGGGTGTCAACCTTTCCCGATTTTTGTGAAATATCCTATTTTAAATAAATTAAACATTTATTAGTCTTCAAAAAAAAGAATTGCTAAAAAAATCTTTACTTGTTCATAAGTTATAGTATGCGTTCGAAATATAAAAAATTATATATAGCCAAATTTTTGTGAGAAAGTTACGTAACTTTAAAATATTTAAAAAATAATTTTGATCTAAAATAAAATTATTTCGCCTTTATTACAATTTGAATAATAAATACATATAAATATTTATATGTTTGTATAGAACTTGTTCTAATCTATGGATATAGATAGGTCTATGTACAAAATAATAGCCTCATTCTTCTCCTTAATGTTTTTACTGCTAAAATTGAACAAAATCAAAATTTTTGAGGCAAAGGTTGTGTTACTGCAGAAAAAAATATCACATTCTGATTCAACAGATTACGTTTTATTTTTGAATTTTGTTTTTTCGCTGGACAAATTTGGAAATTTTTTTTTAAAGTTCAAATTTATCGAAAAATAAATATTCCAATATGTATCAGAAAAGATCCTTTTTTCTATATCTGTTTATTATTTGAAATTTATTATATTACATTTAATAAATGTATACCATAAGCTTTACAATTCATAAAAAACTTTGTTCAAATCTTTTTATTTGTAAGCTACAGAATCATTTAATTACATACTTAAGTTACAATAAATGCACTAGATTTTTTAACAATACTAAAAAGTTCAATGTTTCACCACCTTTTGAAAATTTAATTTTTTAATAATTACAAATGTTTTTTATATCGATGTCATAAAAAATTTGCGAAAAAAAAGTATTAAAAAATTACATTTTGGCCAGAAAAATCGAATTTTAAACCAATGTGCACGTAGTCAAAAATTTTCAGACTATTTTTTGTTTTAACATTTTTTAAAGACTTAAAAGCTTGTCCTAGAAATAAATTTTAAAAAAACTTGTTTAGCTTAATCAAATTACTTATTTCAGATCCAAATATTTGCATTACTTTTCGTAAGTGGCTTAGCTTCAACTGTTGTACATGTATCACACAACGAAATTGGAAATACTTATGATAAAATGTATACAAATAAATTAACAGTTATTCCTAAATATGAATACAATAAATTTGAAAACCTTTTTGAATTTGGAGTTAAGCAGACACAGCACGATGAAAACGTATTTCACAAAATACTGTTAAATAAATATGTAAAATTTGAGAAAGACGATGAGAATAACTCCTTAGGATCTCACGTATCTGTCATAGAAGATGATTACACGAAAAAAATTGAGCACCCTAAAAATGAACCCCTACCAGTGACACAATTTAAAAATGGTGCTGATGAAAATAACATATACAGTAAATTTAAAGCAAATCATATCGTTGTAGCTGATTCGCAATCCATTAAAGGTACAAATAGCAACAACAATACAAGGTAATTAGAAAATTTTTATTTAAACAAATAGATTAAATCCACTTATAGATTAAAGTGTCTTTAGACTATGTGACTTTACGTATGCTAAATCTATTGAAATTCAATCCGTGTTTTTAAAAAGACAATAAAAATCGTATGATTTGTATTTTTTGCGTTAACACTAGGCTTGGGCAACACACTCTATCAAGTATATAATTGTGTGACTTAAACAGCAGAGATCTGAATTCAAGTAGACCCAGCAGTTCGATGGGACAGTCCCGAACTAACTACTTGACATACCACATATGGTGGCACCTAGCCACCCGACTACCCAGGTGACCAACCATTTTAACATGGGCTTGTCCTACGAGGAAGTCAATCGTCACTCTACAGTCTAATATGAGACTGTCAAGAGGTAGTCAAAAGTAGTCAACGGATGGTAATCTCCAAATGGGTTCTTGGGAGTCAGTCACATTACTAGCTCTTTTACTAGTTACTTTACTAGCTATTGACGTGTCCTAGGGGAAAGTCAAGTGTCCCCAAGTAGCTTGTCCAATGGACAGGTATTGCAGTAGGGTTATATAACCGGTCCGTCGAAGTAAAAATCTGACAAGTGAGAGTGTTATATTCGGCTGTGCCGAATCTCATATACCCACCATTTAACCGTATGCCTTAAAAGGAATGCTCACCTATAAACATCATGGTGATATTACTCATCAAATTAACTGAAGAAGACCTTATATGAGAGATAGGGTTAATAATTGACCGTTTTTCATAAAATTTTTTACACCAATTTAGGTTCATAGAAAACATCTTTACATCGAATATCACTTTCCGACATTTTCGCATGATATTCGATAGAAAGATTTACGTTCCTATAAATGTTTCTTATTAAAAATTTCATAACTGTTCACTTATTTTTAAGTCAGCAAAGATAGTTAAAGTAATTATACCCTACACCAATTTAGTGGGGAGGGTATATTGGGTTTGTGCTTATGTTTGTAACATACAAAAATATTCGTCCTATACATACCTTAAAGTATACCAATCGGCTTAGAATCGTTTTCTGAGTCGATTTAGCTATGTCCGTCCGTCTGGCTGGCTGGCTGTCCATGTAAACCTTGTGCGCAAGGTACAGGTCGCAATTTTCAAGATAATTGGATGACATTTGGAACACACCCTTTTTTGGACCAAGGACGAAGCCTATTGAAAATGGTTAAAATCGGTCCATTATTTCACCTAACCCCAATACAACAGAACCCCCCGAATAGGGCTTCTGAGCTCATAATTATGTTAAATATACCTGTATATCGATAAAAAGCGGTACAACTAAGTTTTATACGAGCCTTGATGACCTTGCCAAATGTCATAAAGATCGGGCCTCATTTGACCCTAGCTCCCATACAAAGTCCCCTTCCGAAAATTACTTCAATGTCCAAAATTAACTTATAAGCACAAATATCGGGATGAAATTCAGCACAATAAAATATTATGTAAATATAAATATATTCACAAAACTTTATCGGGCTTAGTCCATATTTGCCCCTAGCCCTCATATAACGCCTCTTTCAGAAAATTAGTTTTTCATCCATAAATTGCTTAAATGTATCGGAACAATGAATTATTATGAAAAATAAATCACATTTAATATTCATAACTGGTGTAGGGTATCATATGGTCGTTGACCCCCGACTATACTTTCTTACTTGTTATACCCTTCACCTTCGTGAGAAGGGTATATATAAGTTTGTCATTCCGTTTGTAATTTCTATAACTCCATAAAGTATATATATTCTGGAGCCTTATAGGTAGCGGAGTTGATTAAGCTATGTCCGTCTGTCTGTCCGTCTGTGTGTTTGTTGAAATCAGTTTTTAGAGGTCTCCAGATGTCGACGAGATCCGAATCTTCAATAATTCTGTTAGACATGCTTTCGAGAAGATCGCTATTTAAAATCAGCACAATCGGTCCATTAATACCGGAGATATGAGCAAAAATCCGAGACAATCTCTGAAAATTTCATAAAAAAGAAAATTTTTTTCATGCTTTGAAATAAGCAACAACAACAACACTGCTTATTCATTGAGTATTTCGTTTCATATGTTTGGATGGCTGTGTGTTTCATTGCCTTGTGTATATTGTTTTTGTTTCTTGGTGTATTCAGTTTCGTATGTTTGGATGCCTGTTGGTTTCATTGCGTTGTGTATTTTGTTTTTGTTTTTTTTGAGAATTTCGTTTCGTATGTTTGGATGCCTGTGTGTTTGTTTCATTGCCTTCTGTATATTGTTTTTGTTTCTTGGTGCATTCAGTTTCGTATGTTTGGATGTCTGTTGGTTTCATAGCGTTGTGTATATTGTTTTTGTTTCTTAATGTATTCAGTTTCGTATGTTTGGATGCTGTTGGTTTTACTGCCTTGTGTATTTTGTTTTTTGTGTGGTTATTTCGTTTAGCGCTGTTGTTGTTCATTTTGTTTTGCTATTGCTATAATAGTGATATAGTCGGGAAAATGAAATAAATATAAATTTTATGAAATTGATATTAAATACACTATGGTGAAGGGTATATAAGATTCGGCACAGCCGAATATAGCACTCTTACTTGTTTTCTTATGGACCGATCCTCAATACATTTGGTAGAGAGATTTTAACTCGTATAAAAAATATGTGTGTCGAATTTCATCGCTTTTCTGTATTCTGTATTTTTAAGCCAGTAATGATCGTTTAAGTAATTTTTTGAAGGGCACCTTATATAGGGAGTAGGGTCAATTATGGACCGATGCACATAAAGTTTGATAGAGAGATTATGGCTTCATTGAAACTTATGTGTGTCGAATTTCATCACTATACTCGTATTTTTAAGCCAGTAATGAGCGTTAAAGTCATATTCTAAAGGGGACCTTATATGGGGGGTAGGGTCAATTATGGACCGATCCTCATAAAATTTGGTAGAGAGGTTTTGGATCATATGAAATTTATTTATGTCGAATTTTATATACTCGTACTTTTGAAACAGATATGCCCATTAAAGCTGTTTTTCAGGGGGTCACTTGAGCCTTTTTTATGTCAAATTTCATTGTTATACTAATATTTTTAAGCCAGTAATGAGCGTTAAACTAATTTTTGAAGGGGACCTTATATGGGGGTAGGGTTAACTATGGACCGATCCACATAAAACTTGATAGAGAGATTTTAGTTATATTGAAACTTATGTGTGTCGAATTTCATCACTATACTCGTATTTTTAAGTCAGTAATGAGCGTTAAAGTAATTTTATGAAGAGGGCCTTATATGGGGGGTAGGGTCAATTATGAACCGATCCTCACAAAATTTGGTATTGAGATTTTGGATCATATGAAACTTATTTATGTCGAATTTTATATACTTGTACTTTTGAAACAGATATGCCCATTAAAGCGGTTTTTCAGTGGTCCACTTGTATGGGGGCTATCCGAAAACGTGGACCCATTTTCAATACCAAACAAACCTTACCTATAGAGAATATTTGTGGAAAATTTCAATCCTATATCTCGTTCCTGTCGGACTCGGACATGGCTAGATCGTTTTAGAATTTAATAAGGGACCATTGGTCTATGACCAATATTTCGATGTGGGTATAAAAACTTATGAAAAATTAAAAAACTTCCAAAAAATACTTTTATTTCTAAATTAAACAGATATTGAAATAAATATTTTTAATATTGCTGCTCATTTGTATCTTCACTAAAATCGGACTTTTAAACTTTGAAATTCCTTATTACGCATAAATGACTCTGAAAGAATGGAATTTGTTATATTAAGGAATGATTATTTTTCCGTAATCTCTGCTAAAGTATTTTGTTTTAACTCATCTTAAATGAATTCACTCTTCCAAATTGTAAATATATCTTATTTAAATTTTACTATTTTTTTAATAAAATTAAAAAACATTTTTTTTATCATTTTTTTCTTAAGTTTTTTTTTAAGAGTCCCCTCTCTTGTTTACTCGGGTGACAGTTAAGTGACGACTGACACTCTCTTGCTTACTTGAGTACAGTAAAGTGGCGATTGTCTTCGCACTCGATTAAGAAGAGTACATTCGTGATGAATGACCAAAAACTTAAAATAGGGTACAACCAGCTGGTTAGACTTTAGTAGAAAATAACAATTGTGTCTCCAATAGATGTGTAAAATATCTACATTCTGAAGTATAATGGAAAAAAACAATTTTTAAGTGTCCCCTCACTCGTTTACCTAGGGTACATTAAAGTGACGACTGTCTTCACTAGGGTTGCCAGCCTGGCAGGACTTGGCTGGATTGTCCAGCTTTTTGATGCTTGTCCAGTTTCAAGCTAAAATTTAATTTGTCCAGCTAAATAGAACCCTGATTGTACATTTGTTATACAACTAAGTTATGATTTCCCTCTTCTATCATCACTGACATTATGTCTCAACACTTGAACAGCTAATGTCGTATTAAATATTATTGCGAGCGATAGACAATTTCTTTACGTACAGCTTACGTACTTATAATTTTTAAAATTCAAAAGTAACGCTTTTTCACATATTTTGCTCTTAAAAACTAAGTTAACGAAGTGACCGGGGAAAACTAAAAATATATTCGTACTATATGGACTTTAAAAAAACTGAATTGGTTTATGAGAACCCCTGCATTTTTTTGGTGTATCACTGTAAAATTATTTACACAAAACACAAAACCAAAATTAACATTTTCTCAGTATTTTTTTATGTCCAGCTTTTTAAAACCCAATGTCCAGCTTTTTGCGAATCGGAATCTGGCAACCCAAGTCTTCACTCTCGTTAACGAAGAGTAGGGTTCTATAAATCGACTTTCAAATAATCGAACAATCGACTTTTTGTCGAAAAGTCGAAGTCGACTATTTTGTTCCAAAAAAGTCGATAACTCGACTATGGTCTGTGAAAAAAGTCGAAAAGTCGACTTTGTTAATAAAAGTCTAAAAGTCTGAAAGTCGATAAGTCGAAAAATCGACTGTTCATAAAATGCAAAAAGTCGAGAAGTCGGAAAG